TTCCAGAGAAGTAATGTTAAAACGTTTCCGTACACGAGAAAATCTAATAAATCACTTTTGGAACAGATGGAAAAAAGAATATCTCCTGTGCTTGAGATCTGCTCATTATACCGGTCAGAAGAAACCATCTGCATTCAACGTAAATGATATAGTGCTTGTTCATGATGAAAATTTACCTAGAAGCTGGTGGAAATTAGGAAGAATAACCAAAACCTTTATTGGTAGAGATGGAATGATCAGATCGTGTGAAGTGAAAACTGGTAATTCGGTAATCAAACGTCCAGTGCAGCTATTGTACAATTTAGAAATTGATGATATCAGTAATTGCAATAATCAGTGACTGGTTAAAAAAAATTGGACTGAATGACTGATAAACTGATGAAAAAAAAATGTTCTTTTTCATAATGTTTTCATTTATTCATTATTATTTTCCTTGGTTTAATGATTTGTGGTGATCTTGAGAAATGTTAATTTAAATGTTTTGTTTTTTCTATAGTTTCAGAAAAAATTTTCTTGATGTTAAGAAATTATTCATATAATGTGACCTGTATATGTAAGTAATTTTTATTTGTTTCTTATTGTTATAGTAATATTGTAATAGTTAAATTTATGATGAACCTATTGTTCATCGGGGGGGGGTTTGTGTGAAATTATTTCTTTTCCCTCCGATGGATTCAGTTTTTCTTTTATTTTTTATCGTCTGTCGCCGACTAGGTCACGTGACTGGCGGCAGAGAAGGAATGTAATACTCTTTTAGTTAGCTTGAGGGCGACGCCTTGAAATGATCTGATCTTGGCCGCATAGCGGTAAGCTCTTCATTAAATGTTTTGTTTTTATATAAAAAAAAATAGAATCGTGAATTCGTGAGCATAAACGTGACAATTTTTTTTATACACACAGATGTTTCCTTCAATGAGAGCAGCCCGTAGAGAAATGGTCTGTAGGCTTTGTGAATATGCCTGTGCACACCACTGTTTAATCGAAGAAATGAGATCATGAAGTTTTTTGACGGCGTGATTTGAATTTTCAGATTTCATAGTTGACGCGGTGTCATCTGCATAGCAAGCCAAAGTTGTTCTGTGGTATTTCTGGAAAATCTTCAGAAAGTAAAGTAATAAGTAAAATATCGGTTCTAGGACTGAACCTTGAGGAATAACAATACGAATAGTCTTTTTTCGAGAGTCAGCATAATTTACGCAAACATAAAAAGTCCTGTTCGTGATGAAAGAATGTATCGTAAATAATTGCTCTGATTAATAATTGCTCTCCGTTATCAATTTTGAGATAAGTTTCTCATACCAGATGCGGTCGAAAGCTTTCGCTACATCTAGCATGAGGAGAGCAACACATTGCTTATTATGGAGCGCTGAGCGAAAAAACTCCGTAGTCCATACTAAGTGCTTGGCCATGGAAAGCTTGGCTTGAAAACGAAATTGTTCAAATAATGTGTCTTCGGATGCTGGTTTCATGTCTTGAGTGAGTTGTTTAAATAGAAGTGGGAGGCCAGATTCTTTAATGATGTTAACGAAACTTTTAAGTTCTCTGAGCATGGTTTTTGCCTCAGAGATAACTTACGGTGCAAGACCGCTTGCTTGTGAGTAGGATTTGTTGGCTATAACTGTCAGCAAAGATGTTACTGGTGGGTGAAGGTTTGGCTTAGGAAATTTCTCGCATCCTCTGTAATTTGCAGTGTGACTCACTTGCTGACAGTTGGCACACTTCGGTGGAGCTCTTCTATCTTTGTTACAGTTGTGCGACTCATGTGAGTCACCACATCGGACACATTTAGTTTCGTGGTTGCAATGTGATTGTGCATGATGAAATCCCTGGGAATGAAAACACTGCAGGGGCGCAGCACCTCTCCATAGTGATTCTCATTTCATTAATGAATCTTTCATGGAAGATCTTATGGTTTTATCTTTCCTTTGAAGAGTTACTAGGAACAGGCGGATGTTGATTACTTTGCCGTTTCTTCTACGTTTTAAGGGGTTAAGACGAATAACACTGTAACGCTTGGCAAGGAGATCATCCGTTATTTCATCGATCGAAGTATATGAAGGTAGATTTTTGATTACAGCTTTGGTACATCTGTTCTCAGGAACATTAAAACAGTGATAGCGGACTCCAGGGTCCGTAAGCACGTTAAAGATTTGTGTGTATAAAGTTGGAGTCTTAGATTGGATCCTGAATTAACTGCCCGTAATAATCCCGTTCAGCTTGCAGATTATATTCAATTAATAGAGATTTAACGTGGGAGAAGGTGAATCTTTCATCTTTTATCACAATAGGTGGTGGGTTTAATCCTAAGGTGCTCTGATTAGTTGAAGGCATTGTCAGTGCAGGTTGATTATTTGGAGTGGTATCCATAGCGTAAGGTTTGAAGGCAGCAGCAGTCTGATCTCAATCGGTGAATCAGAATGTTTAGGAGGTGGAGGGTGAGGCGTAGTCTTCCCAATAGGTTTTTCGAATGCGTCTCCTTTCGGACCGTTCTCCGAATCTGAACTTTCGTCCAAAGCATTGTATTTTCTGATGTCCTCATCGGAGAATGTAGGATTTTCAGGCATGTCTGGCATTCGGCTTAGTAGTTGAAGTTTGAGGAAGTTCTTCATTGCAGCTATCACTACAGATCGCAGGAGTAGCAGTACCAGCAGAATTAACTTGCTCTTGCAGAAACTCCTGGTCAATGAATCGTTTTAGTCGTCTTAAAAAAAAGCAGGTCGCGAACATCGTTGTCAGGAAGATTGTTGTAAACCTCGGTACTCGAGGTTTATGATTTCCGTAGCAATATAGTTGATCAGACGCTCCATCATAGAACACGAAGCAACGGCCACAAGCAGAAAAATAAGCACAGCAGGGCCCTACGCCTTGTAGGATACATGAGACAAAGCTCAGGCGCAGCAAACAGCAAAGTGAGGTAACGAAAACAGCTCGCTGAAATCAGCTTCTGTTTAGAGAAAGTAGAAACTCCACACAGAAACCGCCTTTTCTCCTCAATAATTTTAGATATATAGCTAATCGCAAAAGTAAAAAGTTTAACTCTGAGCCAGAAACTAAAGCGTTAGCTTCCAAGCTGGAAATCTCTCGCCACGCAACACTCGCTGGTGAAATATCCCATCACCATTTCGCTATCTAAACGTATGAAATTTCGAATATTTTTATATACGCTTTAGAAAACATTATTACCATTTCGCACCACGTGATCATTTCAAGATTTCAACTAGCAGAATGTGTGCGAAATTGTTTGGTCCAAAAGAAGAGTCCCATCTTTGTAGTTATTATTAAAGTCAATTTTTGAGTTTTGCTTTAAAGAAACTTACGAATTTTGTAAAAATTGCAATTTAAAGTATGCATTGAAATATCATTAGAAAAAATTCACTTCATTTTCAAAAATAGTTTTTTTGGTTCCAATATTTTAGATAAATTTTGCACACACACAAAAAAGTACCACTTTTAGAAAAAAGTTAAGTTTGGAATTTTAAAGTATTGCATTCTAAAACGTATTTAGATTTCGCAGCAAATTTCAATCACAATCTCAAGGTTTATAAATACATTCGTATTTTGACATTTTTATATTGTTTAATTTAATCATTATTTCTCAGGAAAATAAAATCTAATGACTAATCAAGATAACATTTTCATAAAAATATATGCAAGTTAAAATTCCATTTGTGAAATTAAATTTTTTGACATGGCGTTAAAAATAGTACATGCAAAAAAACAGTGCAAATGCATCTCTGAAAAAAATATATAAATTGAAGATTTAATTTTTAATTTGCATATGCGCTTCTGTAATTTAGATGTTTTTCGTAGATTACAACTTGAAAGAATAACTTTATATGCAATTGTTGAAAATTAATAATAGCATTATTTCTTTTTTAATTTAAAGCTAAGAAAAGTATTTTGGACAAGAAGCTGAGGTGAAGCTCCATTCTTACTATGAATGCAAATTTTGAGTTGAAGAAAAAGTTAAATTACCTTCCACTGAACGCAATAGTTTCCACAAGCAGTTATCTTTAGCTTAAAGATTAAATTTAATGAGAAACAATTTCATTGTATTTTATTAGACAGCAGCGGTTTCCAAGCTATTTTGTTAAATAATTTACCATAATTATCAATACATTAATCCACAATTAAAGTGACATTTAATTTTACGCCTGAATTACTTAGATATACACAGTAGAATCGGGTAATACTGATAATGACATCCACGGTTAAACCAAAATCACGGTCAATCTAATAGCGATTAAAAAAAAACAGAAAAAAGAATAACTCATATTATAATTAACATAAAAATACCATTAATAATTTACCTGTATTATAAAAAGTTTACTTTGGAGAATCAATTCACTTGGAATCAATGCAAATGAAATCAGCCTTTAAAATAGGTATTCCCAGTGTGTTCTGGAATGATCACTAGTCGATGACATATAAAAAGAAATAATTGATCATAAAGGTACCGATTTGGGGCAGACAGTTGAAAAGGCACGAGCAATTGACCAGCATAATAAAGATCCCATTTTTTACAAAAATATTATTAATATTGTAAAATTTGTTATTAAATATTTGTTGATATATAGCTACATGATGTAGTAAGGAAGAAATTAAATAAACATAAGAGGGAATACTAAAAAATAATATTGTACGCTTTAAAAAACAATAATTTTTATTTTAAAATATATAAACTTTTAAGTAAAAAGTGCAATAAAGTTCTGTAGCACGAACGTTATACTACATATACATTTTTTATAGTGAGTATAACATTTTCCTAAATATGAGCATGGTAGAATATATAAAATGTTCGATTTCGTGATTTTTAAAAAATTGATCGTTTTATTTAAAATCACCAAACCATAAATAGTTGCTTCGTTTAAAGCATTTCTGTAATGGAAAGTATAAGACCAACGGTTTCGAAAATAAAGGCCAGATAAGAACCTTTTGTGCACACGGTATATACTGCACTTACATTACATACATTAAGGTTATAAGAGAATTCTGCTTACTTGACCATATAAAGGATTGTTTTGTCTTTATACAACCATACGTAATGATTGGGAATGGTCATGGTCTGGAACGTGACCGATTTGGCATTTTTGAAGAAGGAGTCTGGTCTCCATATATCTTTGAGCCAGGTTACTTCTAGTAGCTTATAATCAGATGTCATATTCTCTGGTAAACGCAGTCGATGGTCTTTCCAGGACTGAGCAAAGAAGATATCCACCGCGTAAGTCTGGAAGACAAAAGCATTGTTCTAAATAAAAGAATTATTTTAGAATAATCTAATTAAGATAAAAAGTATTCTATAAGTTATTTTAAGAATGTAGAATTATCGAAACAAAAAGTTGAGAAATAATATTTCTCGTTTTAGAATTTAAATAAGTAAAAATACTGGGGTAAGTGTATTTAACATTGAGTAAATGGGTATCTCGGTAGTTTGGCGAGAAATCGCAAAAAGTCGCAAAATTTGGTGACATTTGGGTTCGTCCCTGTATCACCGTAATATGTACTGAAATTGAATAAATGTAATTGACCACTATGTTAGCTGTAACCGTAATTCCACCTCGTATTGCTTTCCAGTAAGTTCGAGAAGCAAAGAGTCTTAGAAGTATCCCGGCGGTCTACTGAAAACTATTTAAGGCCAAAGAGAGAGCATCTGCTTTGTCATTTGCTTATTTATTGTTGTTGCGAGTTGTTAGTTTCGCTAAAATGAGATATCCGAGTTAGCTCTTTAAAAGTGCTTTGCATTGCGTTGTGTTTAACGTTCTTAGTAGTTTGCTGCGTAACTACTGATTGAACTCTGTGATACTGTGAACTCCTGTACGAGTATTTCTGCGGAAAATTCCAGAACTTTGAAGTGTTTACTTTGATAAAATACATTGTTATTAACCTATCATCGGACCTGTGTGCATTCAGTCTATTACGAATCCGTACGCAAGCAACAATATTATTGAAAACTTGTGTACTTAATAAAATTGATTTGTTTGCATTGCTGCCTTTTGTGTATTGTTTTAACGTTGTGTATTCTTTTAATCAGTACTTATTTATTTGTTGCTTTTAGGGTTTATTGTGTATGCAATTGGATTTTTTGTCACATATTCTTCATATAGGTGTTTACTTCTTATATAGAATTACAAACCTTTCAATTCTGGATCGAACAACAATGTTTAAATTGTAAAAATGTAGAACGCAAGAAACGGGCAAAACTCTCCTGATCGGCATCAGAAACAATTCATGTCACTAAGTTGGCGACATTCGGCAATTTACAACAATCTGGCTTCTTTTTGGAAGATTTTTTTAAACTAATTTTCGAAGCTGTGCGACTAATTTTCCTCGAAGCTTCCAGAAGCTAGTGCTACCCTATATAAATACTAGTCAGAGGCCAAGGATAAGTTAGTTATTAATCAGCTTTGAGATTTAGCGGTTCAAAGAGAGTTTGCTGAACAGCGATGTAGAATTTTCATTGTGCTTGATTTTGGGAATTCACGATATTTTTTGGAAGCTAAGGAGGAAATAATATTCGCGATCTTCTTGAGCTATTTGTAGCTATTTACTGTACTGTGTGTCTTTAAATTTGTAGCGAAATTTCAGCATCTCCTGCAGATACGGAATGATTATTCATAGAGATAGCCACGAACTCGTAAGCAACAACATTATTTTAATAATTTTTCTTGTCTTTAATAGTATTTATAAAAAACCTGATAGTTTAAGAGCAAGGAAACACTACTTAGTTAAAAAAAAAAGAAATAGTTAAGAATGAGTGGTTAGTTTCGAAAGTGCAGCACTTAACACTCAGCTGTAATCGAACATATTGGTGACCTGTTGAAATAAATCTGTTATTATAATCGAAAATAGAATATTGTAAGAGCATAGTGGACTTTTCATTCTCTTTACTAATCCTTTGCGGTCGCATGCCTACTCTTAGCCATCAAAGCTTTTATACCGTTACAGTCGCATGTCTGCTCTCAACCAGCACATAAAAGAACCATACTGATCTTGTAATATTAAGTCAGCAAGCTTCAGAATTTGCATAGTATGTATCACTTTTCATTCAATGAAAACTAATTCGTACCGGCAATATACCTATATATAAACTTAATACAAGCACAAAGGCTTATAGTAGGTGACTATGACACATGGCAAAGTGTATATTGCATTCCTTCCATGGCTAAGAAGAGTTTCAGAAAGGAGGAGGATTTTCAGGTACTAGGAGGAGTTTCTGAAAACATATTGTAACGAGTTACGGAGTGGCTGATTATCGCTTTAAATAATCACTACAGATGAAAGGAAAGAAACTGATAATTTACCATAAAATTTACTACTCACAGTACAATAAATATCTAGAAATAGTTCAGGAAGCACGTGAATATTGAAGAACTCTACCTCAGCTCACGAGAAATATCATCAATTCTCCAAATTACTCACGAAGTAAGCTCTAATTCGTAATCAGTTAACCACTATAAGTCTTTCAGATGATTAGGTCCACCAGTGGCGGAGCATGAACACTAGTAGTTCAGTCCGTGGTTCGAATCATTGCGAACGGGCTGGTTGCACGGTCGTTTTCGTGTGTAATGTATAATAAGAGTTCTTCATCTGAAACTTATAATACGTGCTAGTTTCTTTTAAAAAGTCCCATGAAGGCATCCTTCCTCTTAGGCAGATAGCCCATGAGTACTTTGCCATAATCAAATAAACTAAACCTTAGAGATGATCAAAATCTAGCATAGCTCTCTGACACGCATTTATGTACTGTAAGATGGGCTTCTAGAAGCTTCTGAAAGAATGCCTTTTCCAAATTTGCAGACAGTCGCCAAGTTCGCAAGAAATTGCTAAATATCGCCAACTTGGTGTCAAAAACGTATTTAACCATATCTCGAGTTCGGTGTGGGCTGTTTGCACAACTCAAACGTAGTTTAACTCAGAATCGAAAGATCTATAATTCCGTGTGAGAAATAACTTATGCACGAAACACGGGTATCAAGTTCGAAGTGCTAAAACTATCACCCTGAAAAAATAAAGAAAAAAAATAACTAAATTAAGCAATACACAACAGTACATGAAAGGCAGAAAACAACAGGAAATCGAAAAGGATTTATTTATTTACAAAAACCCTGGACCATTTCGTTTCGTAGCAAAATTGTTCTTTCCAAAAGTACCTCCTGATAAGTAAAATAGCTACCAATCTATTTGAAATCCCCAAATCAAATTCGCGAGTTTTACAGACTAACGTTCTCCAACTAACACACTGGAATTTCTAACGGAATAAATCTTTCCTTTTCTTGGGGACTAAGATAGTAACGAAATGTTTCTAACCCAGTTATAGTGATTCATGGATCAAGTTCAAAATGAAAGACCTACCCAAATAACACAAAATGACTTTGCATCGGAAACTATATTGCCGATTCGGAAATTAAAAGTAAACAAAAAAGAGATGATTCGCTTTTAAAATCAACTGCCAACTTGCCGATTCTTTCATTTCATTGCCGATTTCTCCAGATGTTAAAGTAGAGAACATTTTTTATATTTCCTATAACATTTTAAGCTAAAAAAAATCGAGAGGGAAAGAAAAGAAATTAGATGGCATCCTGCGAAAACTCTTGAATGGAACAATAAACTTGAGAAAGTAATTTCACACTTCAACAGAAAAGGGATTTTATTTATTTTCTCTTCTCTTTGCCAAAGTAATGCTTTATGGAAAGAATTAAAGTCATGCTTTCCAGATTCATTCTGAATGAATCTATTTGCATTTGCAGTGTTTTATTACATTACATCAGTTTCGAAATAACTCTAATCTTTTGAGCCTCTTTTAAACTGTACTTCCTCTTTTTCATTTCCACTAGCTAGTGTAAAACTTGAGGAAGGTAAACATTTTTTTAAACTGCACCAGCATGAAAATCATACGAATAAACAGAAATTTAAATGGAAGGTACTGGTACAGGTTAAAGCAAGGCTGGCACTTGTGCATCCAAGTATGCATTAAGTATCGTGGCGCCTTGTTAACTGCTAATTTTCCGCCTTGGAGAGAACTCCGAGTGCGATCTGAGGGTTTACTCCAGAGGTAAATTTTTCAGGCTAAAGATTTTTTGGTCGTGGGCTCTATATCTGATTAATTAATTGTTTCGGTAAATTTTTTTTTCCTCTGAATTGAAGTCCTCAACTTAACTTTTTCGCTCTACCATGGCGTTAAGTAATTTTGACCAATATTTCTTTATTTTTAAAAGTAATAATTTTATTTCGAATGATGCATTTTATTTTAGAATCGAAAGGAGTGGAGAAAGTTCAATGATTCTACAATCAATCTCTCGAAGGGATATCGGCTTGCCGTGTATTTTAAGTACTTCCTTGCCGCACAGATACTATAGACTCCTTCCCCGAGATTCGAACCTGGGCCCTTCGATACGGCAGTCATCATATTTAACTACCATCCCGTCGGTGCGGCAACGGAATATACAGCGGAATATAATATGTAATTATGATACTTAATGCATAATTTCAGAGTTATAGAGTGACGTGCTGAAGGAACTCCACTTGTCGTACTTGCTTGCCGTACAAACAGATGGCCAAATGAATGTTTAAAGTGATGTTGCGTTATCTGCCAATGGGGGTAGAGTAGACTTTAAGGTACCCCTTGTATTATGGCGAAGTTGTTATTAGAAGAAATGGTTCAGGGTTTTTGTAAATAATTAAATCCTTTTCGATTTCCTGTTGTTTTTCTGAATTCATGTACTGTTGTGTATTGCTTTATTTAGTTATTTTTTTCTTTATTCTTTCAGGATGATAGTTTTAGCACTTCGAACTTTGATGCCTGTGTTTCGTACATAACGCAGTTGTATTATGGCGACGTTGTTATTTATCGCCAAGTTGTTGTTTCATTTATGGTAGCCTGAGTAGTTGAATGTTATGGAAACCCTATTGTGACGTAATCGGGTGCCTGATTCTGGGAAATTTTGAAGCATGGGATGTTTTGTAAGCGTTTTTGTGGTGTGTGTTGGTTTGATTCTTTAGAAGGTAGAATGGAAGAATGTAGTAAGATTGACTTGAAGTTTCTGTAGGATTTGGAAAGAAAGGGGAAAAAGCATTAATTGACTGGTGTGTAAATGAAGATTTACTTAGTAGCCATTATAAGTGTCCTGTATGTAGGAAGGATATGCGTCTAGTCGAACGTAAAAATCGTAGATGGATTTGAATGGGTTTAGGAAGTAAGGTTCAGATGGTCACTATGTGAAGCGTTCG